AGGGATGGTAGACACGTGGTCGATCCTCTCTTGTCTTTAAATCAACCTGTGGTTGGAGTACTCTAAATTAATATAGTTTTCTTTCCTCCAGGTATTCAAAGAAAGGGCAAACACCCTGTAGAAGACTGGCAAGTAGACTTTGCTCACATGCTGAAGACCAAGGGAACACAATTTCTCCTGGTATGGATAGACACACTTGCTAACTGGGTGGAAGCTTTCCCTTGTAGAACTGAGAGAGCTTCTGAAGTAGCACGAATTTTAGTCTCTGAGATCATTCCTAGATTTAGACTTCCTAGGAGTCTATAGAGTGACAATAGTCTCTTCTTCAAAACTGCTATTACTCAGGGAGTCTCCAAGGCGCTAAGAATCCAATATCACTTATATTGTGTCTGGAGATCACAGTCCTCAGGAAAAGTAGAAAAGGTTAATGACCTTCTTAACACACATCTTCGGAGACTTGGGAGACACACCTATCCTGGCCCACTCTATTCCCCATTGCCTTATTATGGGCCTGAGTCTTTATGAGTTGTTATACGAATACCCATTCCTTAACAACAACCTTTTATTAGACAAAGATTCCTCTGACCAAATATGGGATATAATGTCACCAAGAAAAATCCAACAAACCTTACAGAATTTACTAAAGGCCCACCCGAGACAGTGAAGGTGCCCCATATTACACTCTATGGATGTGGTATTGGTTACCTCTCTCCCATCTCTCTTCCCTTCTTCAGGTCCCACCTGGGACAGACCTTAAACTGTGATCCCATCCACCTCAGTGGCTATAAAAGGGATGGGAATAGACTCCTGGATTCACCACTTGAGAGTCAAACAATGGAATGAAGGAGAGGAATCCTTAAAATCAAGATGCAGAGAAGGAGAAGAACCCTGACTCCTATACCTGTGAGCCACTAGAAGATCTTAAATTTCTGTTTAAACCAAAGACACCTCTCCATCTCAAGATAAGTAATGACTATAAGTTTATACTGGTTACTGGCCTCCTTAGGATCCTTCTATCTCTGGTCCTCAGGGTAGGAGTATATTCTGTAAGCCCTCTTGAGTGGACAATTACAGAAAAACTCCTTCTTTGCCTTTCTATTTTCTTCGTTCTAGCTGTTTGGGAGGGGGGCTATTCTTCATCTAAAAAGATTCTGCCCCTATGAGCTCTCTATATACATTTTTCCAGAGAATATCTGCGGTGTGCCTCTCAAAATCAAACAGCTATGCCAGACCCTCCCCAATGCTTGGAATTTATAATGGACCTTTGGGTTCATGGAGACCCAGTGAACTTCATGCCACCCCATATGTATTTATACCTGGATCCCAGTCACTACAGTGTTTCCCCACCAGCAGACATGAATATATTTCCCCTCTTTTATCTAGCGCTCTCTCCATTCTCCTTTCCGTTGGAAGGGTCCAATTCAGGATTTTCTCACCCCACATCCATGTTTTGGAGCTATGAAGACTGCACACAGATTATCACAACATGCAAAATCATCATATGCTTCTAAATGTAGGCTGTGGGCTCTTCCCCTCATGGTTCTGGAAAGGTATACCCTGCTACTCCCCATGAGAGGGTCCCCTCTAAAGCTGAATTGTCTTTATTTATTACTGGGGACCTTCTGCAAATCAGCTCCCTATTGAAGTTTTATACTACCTCAGCAGACTAAATGAGCCTTTTATGGGAAGCTCCCCCTATCTTATGCCCTCTACTTAGTTCTGTAGAACTCATAAGTCAAGCTCTGACCTGTATCAAGACTGTACATCCCTCTGGAACTCAGGTGGGAACCTTACCTAATAATCTTGACGATGTGACTATAACTATTAAAGATAATTATCAAAAATTCTTCACCCACACCACCAGTCCTCTAGCTAAGTGAGGTTTTCCTTTACTCTAGATATTACTCTCCACTCGCGGACTCACGGAACTGCTCGGCTCTGTCTAGGTTGCTTTTCAGGATGCGATTCAACTGCTGTTATCTCCCAAATGCAAGGACATATGCATATGAGGATCCACCTCATATGCGATTCAACTGCTGTTATCTCCCAAATGCAAGGACATATGCATATGAGGATCCACCTCATATGTGATTCAACTGCTGTTATCTCCCAAATGCAAGGACATATGCATATGAGGATCCACCTCAGGGTACTTTTCCTCCTTTCCCTAGATCCTTTGGGTAGATTAAAGGAGAGCCATGCTTTTCTGGGAAAATGGAACTGCTTCCCCTATTCATCCTCAGACTCCATGCTTAGCCCCCTTGGCTACCACCACACTGTCAGCTGAATTCTAAATCCTGGGAAGCTCCACAGGATATCAGTCTTTCTTTGGCAAAGAACTCATTTCTTTCTGTATATATATTCCTGCATATAACGAAAAGGGCTATACTTTGTACGTGGAAAAGAAAAACTTATCTGTCTACCTTCCAACTGGGCAGGGACAGGCACTCTTGCATATCTATATCCTGCCATCTCCATAGGTACAGGAGAAACTCAGATGCTCCTCCCTATGTATGAACTTGTACAATCTTACAGAAGGAAATGGGCCATTCAACTCATACCAGTCCTATCAGACTTAGGCATCACTTTAGGAATAGGGAACGGAATGGGAGGGATTATCTCCTTTTCCCTGGTCCACAAAAATCTGTCACTTGAGATGACTGATGCCTCAGATACCTTAGCCCAAACTCATCAACATACAGAAATAAGATAACTCCTTAACAGCAAAAGTTTTGCAAAACAGAAGGGCCTTACATATGCTTACTGCTATCCAAGGGGAAACCTGTACTATGCTTAGGGAAAACTGCTGTTTTAGGGTTAATAAATCAGGACCAATTCAAACTAACACTCAGAAACTAACCCACCAGGCCTCTCAACTTCAGGAATGAGCCACCTGAGGATGACTTTCATGAGAAAATATCTTTTCTACTTCCTTTCCTGGACCCTCTATGGGCCTACTTACAATCCTTCTGTTAGGTCCATGCGTCTTTAACCTATTTGTTAAGTTTATTTCTTCTCGCCTAAAATCTGTGAAACTTCAATTGATATTGGAAATGGAACCAGAGACTCATTACCCTTCAGAAGGAGGGACTGAAATAAGTTAGGAGGTAGAATAAACACAGGCAGTTAGAGCACAGCACCCACAGAACATTCAAGTTCTGGTGCAAAACAACAGCTGTGGAAGTTGCGTGATAGGAAACCCTTTCCTTAATATAGAAGAACATGACAGACATGACCAGGCCTTCCAGGAAATTCATGTGAACACATGGTGCATAATTAAAAGCCTCACTGGGCCAGGAATGCATGGACAGCACAAGTGCACAACTAACTGGCCTGTCGGGCCACCTGGATTGTTGTTGGCCAATAATGGGGTTAACTTAGAAGTTCCTCCACTACAGCAATATAAACATCTAGAGAAAGACCAACCCGTGGCAACCCACCCCTGAGACACACACACCCAACTCTGGAGGCTCTACTCTGCTATTTTTCTATCTCAATAAACTCTCCCACTCTACTGACTCTCATTGATCGTGAAGTTTATTCTTCAGCTTTGTGAGACAAAAACCCAGAATACCGACCCTCATTCTAGCTAAACACCTAAGCCAGCAGGGCTGAGCAGAGGCTTTCGGTCCTATACAAATCTCCCATTTCAGAGGGACAATGTTCCTATTAGGTAAAGTCTGTAGTCCATTGTCAGCTCCGAAGCAGATAATGAAGACAGTACCATCCCCCTTCAACAATCCCACAAAAGAATATTTTCAGAATATTGTCCCTCCCACATCCAAGTTAAGGATGCTATAAAAATGTCTTAAGACAAAAATCTTTTCTCTCTGCCTCCACCTCATATCCGGCCCATTATGGCCTTTTGTAACTTCTTCCCCTCTTATCTAAAGTCAAGTCCATTGTTTCCTACACTAGGTCCATGTGTTCTGCTTGAATTCTTCCTCACCAGAGCACAAGAACTAAAATCTTCTGATCTGAATTCTCAGAGACTACAACACTACCATAAATCTGTATGAGACCATATATGACACCATAGATATTTTTATGACATTCACTGTAGAAAATTTATAAAGTGTAGAAAAATAAAAAGGAAGGTGCCCATATCCTACCATCTAGATACCATAATTGTCAACATTCTGCTGTTTGTCTTTCCAGATATTGTAAGAAGTGTTTAATCTGCTTTTGCTGAAAAGCACTGACTCCATACTTGGGCCCACAAATTAACTAAAAGCAGGAGAAAAGCATGGCATCTCTCCTTCATTTTGTATCTTTCTTTGCTCTAAGCCATTCTCTCTGTAGTCACTTTGCAATCACCTTGGAGTTCAGGAAAGACAGAACTTATCTTCTACACAAGAGACCTAGACTACCCTTAACAGCAGAGCCTCCTTAGAACAGACCACCTGCCAGATGACAATGTCTCTGGATAACACCTGAACCTCTTCCAGAATAAAGACTGAGATAATGACTAGCCTGACCACATCTGTGATTGAGACTGTTTATGCATATCTTACCTCTCTCCCTTTGCTTTCAGTTCTTTATCTATTTAAATGGATAGCTCATGTCTGTACCCTGAAGATAGCTGAAGATGGACTGAGTGCTTACTTACTTTGCCTCTTCCTGTGATGTGGCCTATGTGCTGGACTGTGTAATAAACCTCCTTTTTCTGCCCTTCACCATGTCTCTTTATTTGGCATATATAAGATGCCACTGAAAGGGGATAGAATGGCAGGCAGCTATGGAAAGGGGTATAGCATTTCAAGACAGGTTTAGAGTAAATTTTATACCTCAGGTTAGGCCACTTTTGATTGGTTATTTCCATTTTTGTGGACCTTTCTCACTGGTCGTCTCTTCCTGGAATCATGGTTTGAATATCTTATGCTCTGGAACATCTCTGTGCCATCTGGGTCCCCTGGGGGCTGTATCCGCCCTCTTCCCCCATTCCTTCTGTTCCTTAGTATCCTTTTGTCTGCCATATTTCCTTAAAATGGGGGGCCTTCTCCACATGGAGGAAGATTCTTGCTTTATTTACAAGTAATTATGAAAATTATGGCTACCATTGAATGGCCTGTAAAGAAAACTTTGTTGTAAGGTCTTTGTTTAGAAGGAAAATTTCTAAGGGAAAAAATCAACATAAATATAATCATACTTTTAGTAAGAGATTGGCACACTCCTATGTTTATTCACATGGAGCCAGCATAGTCTCATCTTTGTTAACTCTGCAGCATAAACAGAGTGAGGCTGTTTCTCGATACACAAGTGGTTCCAGTAATTTGCACACATTACAAGTTGGCCTGATTTTAAGACTGAACTGATCCTCTGCTGCGCTGACTAATGTAATTGTCTGTGTACATAATCAAGTTTTGTATTTTTCTTCTACTTAAAAAAAAGGAAATTTCAAATAACATCTCCCCACTTATGCATGTGTCTTGGCTGACTACTAGAAAGGGAGGAGAATTAACAGACACCCCACAATTCTTATATGCTAGAGACTTGGGTAACTATTGCTGTTTCATCATCATAACAATCCCAGAAAGTCAGTATAATTACACTGTCTTATAGCTGCACAAACTAGGCTCGAGAAAGTTAAGTGATTTTTCCAAGATTGCAAAGCTAGCAAATGATAAAGCCCAATTTTGAACCCAGGTATTCAGTAGTTGCTTATTAAATTGTTATTGAAAGGTCATTTGAAGACGTCATCCTCTTAGTTAGATTTCCTAAGCAATGGGGCTTGGAGTTGGGGGTCCAAAGTCCCTTCCAACTCAATACTATGCAATTTGTGATTAGTCAAAAATACACATAAGGAGTCTCCTTGTCTGTGTGGAGTTTGAAAAAGCATGTTTAACAGAGATGATATTTTCCAGAAACAGACCCTAGTTCTACTTTGGCTTGTGGAAACTTGTAGACTGTACTGTAAGAATTGCAGGGAGGATGGGTTAAGAAAGGCTCAGTTATGTGTACTGAACCTTCACAAGAAGCCGGTAGGCCAGCAAACGTGAAGTATGAACTCTGAAGTCTGCATCTTTCTGAGAAAGTTTCCAAACAAGGAAATGACCTGTCATTGTGGCATCACAGATGGAGAAGAAGAAGAACGGGACCCTTCTCCATAAAGCCTCACAAGTGCTCCTATATGCTATTTGTGCTTTGCCGAAGATGATGTCAGAAAGGGCTGGGGATGTAGCACAGTGGCAGGAGGCTTGTCTAGCATGTGCAAGGCCCTGGGTTCCATGCCAGCACTACACGCGTGTACCAAATGATTGCCAGAGACTAATGCTTGGGCAGCAGAAAAAGTCAGTGGTGTCATCCAAAATCTCTGCGTCACCAAAGGAGTCTACCCTGCTGATATCAAGTGCCCCACCAAGGACTGGTCAGCCTTAGCCTAGACAACTTGAGACAGCATGAAGCACAGTCACCATGGATACCCTCGTCTCAGAACCAAGGACTTCTGGAGCTGAAGAACAGTACCCAGTGTGAAATGCTCCAGAAGCATGGAAGTGAAAACAGCACTTGTATACTCCCCTCCCCCAGCACCCACATGTTGGTCAGCTAGAGAATGATCTCAGCCCACTAAATACTGCAGGAAATTCATACTTTGAGCTGAAAAGGAAGGAGGGGGAGAGACACATAACATTAATCATCATTAATCATTCTTAAAATAACCTCAGCACACAACCTGTCGCACAGTCAGTCACCAGCAATGCCAAGGTCTGCAGAAGAAACTGCCAAGCACCATCATGCAAGAAACATGTGAGGATGAGGCGGGTAGTTGAGGCTCCCTCTCTGGGTGTTATTTGTTCAGAAATCAATATTTATGCATAAAAATACTGAAGCTGAAGTTTTGTACTCCAGGCCAAATCTCCTGGGATTCCACACTCCAGGTCCGGTGTTTTCTCCTACTCCCTGTCTCAGTAAATTCTATTACCAACCCAAGGCTTCCAAATCCATGACGATCCATTTTCAAAGGAAAATCATTCAGCAATTGAGATAACTAAATCCATACTCCACAAAGCATACAAACTGAATTTTTCTAGCAGATATTAACACTCTATGGCTTTTGCACAATTTATATTTTTCTGAGACCCTTGCATTTCCTAGCTAGCTAGTATGCAGCTTTGACGTTTCAGGACTCTATGGGCGCCTTGCTGTGGAAGGTAGAACATTACTCACGCTGAACCCTGAACCCTGAACCCTGGCTGCTAGCTTCTACTGTGCCTCCAAATCCTTGCCTGAGCTTGAGCGACACATTTTTCTGTGGATTTCTAGATTCCTCACCTATGAAATAGCAATGGGGCTTGGAGTTGGGGGTCCAAAGTCCCTTCCAACTCTCAATACTATGCAATTTGTGATTAGTCAAAAATACACATAAGGAGCAAAAAGCTGAGTTGGTTTATTTTCAGCAATTTTGCATTCGTAGTTTCAAATAGTTGAGAAATACGTAACTTAAACTGACACTAACTCTTTTTCTCTGCATTCATACCTTCATTGGTGCCTGTACTATCCCAGGGGCATAGAGTGTCAATTCTATTTTCAGTTATTTCCCCATGAGCAGTGGAATACTGAGCCCATCTGATAACTTTATTGTTATAAACTTTATAAACAGCATGCCTGTGTCCAAGGAAAAGGCACAAAGCCAGGACTTTGTGTTCTCACTTCTTGTCAACACAGAAATCTAAAACTGAAACAATATTTCAAAGACCTGGTTTACCTCTTCCCAGCCCTCAGTCTCAGAGGAACATGAAACCTGACATTCCAAACCTTGGTTCTGATTTTAGACCAAATGTACATTATCCCACCTGCTGGCTTCTGAAAGTCTGACTTGTCTATGTGAAGACTTTTCATCTACTTATTTAAAATATTTTAAAGAAAGTAGTGAGAGAAAGTGGCAGGCAAGAAGTCTGAGGGCAAGAAAGTAGGACATAAAGAACATTAGTGCAACCTAAAGCTGGTGGCTCACGCCTGTGGGTCCAGGCCAGCTAGGGCAAAAAAGTTCTGAGACCCCATCTCAACCAACACCTAGGCATGGTGGTACATACCATGTGAGGATCCTAATCCAGCCTAGCCTAGGCAAAAAGAGAGAACCTACCTGCAAAATAGCCAGAGCAAAAAGAGCTGGAAGTTTGGCTCGAGCAGTAGAGCACCTGTCTTGCAAGTGTGAAGCCCTGAGTTCAAACCCCAGTACTGCCAAAAAAACAAAACAAAAAAAACATTAGCCCAAGCCTGAAGTTTCTGCCATGTGTGTCTAGAGTCCACACCTGGCGCTCAGACCAATAATGCTCACTGGTTTCCAGCTTGACTCGGGTACAGGCCTGACTCTGCTCTTGCTGCCTTGTAGTAGTGATGTCCACTCAGCAAGTGTTTACAGACCGCATGTGTGGGAGCCAGATGCTGGATGGCAGAGGTGCAGTGAGCAGACGCAGCTGTCCTCAACCTCAGGCATTCGTGAGGCAAGAGCTATAAATCATTTAGCAAAAACGCATTCACGAAGGCCAGCAATTGCTAGTATTGTAAAATACTGATAACTGTAAGAAAAAAATCTAAATTCCTCAGGAATGTTGCTGCCTGCGTGTGCTAGGAGCTGTGGACTCAGTTCTATAGCTGCACTTGATCCCACAGGCTTTGGAACTTACAGTTTCAGGAAGTCCTTGGTATTGTGTGCATTAGCAGTTGTCCACAGGAAAGCTTTCCAGAAGGAGCAAGCCAAGAGGTAAAAGAGAGACAGAGAAGCTGACAGTTGCTGAGACTGCCTTAGACTGACCTGCTTCAGCTGGTGGGTGAAGTACAAGTAAGTCACAGCCCCGGAGAAGGACTGCAGGGCCACCTGCAGGAGCACGGTGAAGACCAGAATCAACCTGCAGGTCTGTCCAGGGCTGGGGCGCCCTGGGGGCTGCGTGTAGGACATGGTCCTCTCTGGTCTGACTGCCCATGTCACTCTGGCAGGTTACTGTGGAGCCCACAGCAGGGGGGCGGAGTCCTCTTTGGTTTCTCTTTCCCTCTCAACGAGGAAATGACCAGCACCACACACACATACACACAGCAAACCAAACCAAACCTAGCACCCAGCGAGTGAGCATGCCAGGGAAGTCCATCAGCATACCGTCCCCAGAGGTGTTATTCAATATCTGTGTCAAGGGTGAGGAGATAAATACGCCCTTAAAAACCATTCACACGGATAGGACTGTGAGGCGATTAAGTCAAACATTTCCCTTGCCAACCTGCGTGGCCTTCTGGGTCCTACGCATGTGCTGCTCCCAGCAAAAATGCCAACTCCTAAGCACTGCCTAGGATTTGAGTAGCTGCGGTTTGGGTAGAAGAATTCACCCAATCAGAGTAGGAGAAAGCCAAGATTTATTAGAACTTCATGAAAAACGGATCGAATGGCAGGTGGCTATGCAAAGTGCATAACGCAGAGATAGGGTTAGGAATAGGTTTCACGCCTCTGGTCAGGCCACTTTTGATTGGCTGGCTCCCTGGGCCCTCCCTTCTGATTGGTTGTCTCTTTCTGCGACTATGGTTTGAATTTCTAGTGCGCATGGAAACCTCTCTGCAAGCTTGGCTTTCACTTCCGCGTTCCATCTGGGCCACTCCAGCAGCCAGATCCACCCTACCTTCCATCTGTTCTTGCTTTTGTTTTCTTAAAAGGAGGGCCTCCTCCGCAGGCACCATGTGGCATCTGTCAGGCCAGCAGCCTGTCACTAGGAACAGACAGTGGATCTGACTGCAGCCTGAGATCACTCCAGTCTGGAGACACTGGCTGCACCAAAAAAGCCTCCCTTGGCATTTACCCAAAGGTGGGACTATGACCCCCACCCATCAGTTCAGCAGTCTGGCCCCCATCATTTGTTAGGAAGCTGTTGTAGTGTTCAGAAATATTTTTACATTTTGCTTTTTGCAGTTTTTCAATGGCTGAAATCAAAAGAAGAATAATGTTTGTGATGTGTAAAAATGATATCAGTCCAAATAGCTTTGCTCATTTGCTCACCTATTGGTTATGGCTATTTGGCAATATGGAGAACTTAGCATTGCAGCAATGGCAAATCTTAGCAGCAGCGAGAGAGATAGCTTGTGGCACTTCTGGTCACTTCTTTCTACTGCACTGTACATCTTGGTAGTGCAATGATCACTTGATTTGCTTTTGCCCACAAAACTGAAAATATTTAACACCTGGAAGAGTTTGCCAATCCTGGCTTGGCAGCTTCATTGGGTTCTTGCACCCTCTTATGGAAGAAAGTGAGTTCTTCCAAAATCATGTGGGCAGTTTACATAATATCAACAGTTTGGAAAAAAAGAGACACCATTTCTCATATTCATGGTTGACAAGTCATTAATTTTGTTGATGAAAAGCCATTTTCTAACCTTCATTATGCTAATCATAGTTAGCATGGACAGATACAGAAATCGTGATGGCTCTCCCTGTGGAAGCTAAACCCTGGAATTAGAACGCACAGACCACCTGTGGGTGTCAGTACCTTGTGAGGACAACTGGATTTAGGGGGTAATTTAAACTGACACACATACCACCTATGTGTGGTCACATGTCAGTGATTCTCAACCCCAACCATACTTTGGAATCCTGTGGTAGCCTTTCAAAACATCAGTGCCTGGGTTCTACCCCTCACTTGTTAAATCAGAAACTCTGGGAGCAGGACACAGGTACTGTATTTTATCCAAAGTTCCCTAGCTAAATCAATTGGGATGGCCATTGCCAATGAATGGATACATGAAATGTGGTCTATATACACAGTGAGGCATTATTCAACTATAAAAATGAATGAAATCCTGGCTTTTATGACAACATGGGTGGAACTGGAGGCCTGAATGGTTAAGTGAACTAAGCCAGGCATGGAAAGGAAAATGCCATGTATTCTTACTCCATATGTAGAAACTAAAAATGCTGATTGCATAGAAGTAGAGAGTACAAGAATGGTCACTGGAGCAGAAGGGGAGGAGGGGTGAAGGGAGCTTAGATAATGGGTAAGAAAATACAATTAGAAAGGAGGAATAAGTTGTAATGTTTTGTAGCACAGTATGGTGATTATAGCTAGTGATAATTTATGGCACATTTCAAAGTAGCTGGTAGAGAAGATTTTGACTGTTCCCATCACAAAGAAATGAAAAAATGTTTGAGATCATGAATATGGTAATTACCAGTTTGATTGTTATACATTGTGTACATTTAGCATTACAATGTTAATCTATTTCATTTCTCTGTCTATTCCCAGGTCCTGGAGTCTTAGCCAGAGAACTACTGTTCCACTCTGGGTTGCAAACTGCCTATAGCAACAATATTTAAAGAAGAGCTCTTTACAGTTTGTAGAGTATTTTTTATTCATTTATTTAGTGTGCCAAATGAATATGCTGTGCTCAGGTACTATGAGAAATATGAACATTTTCCTTTTGTCTATAATTAACCTGTATATTCTCACAAGGGCTTCATATTAAGAAGCAGGGTTGGGCTACATATAATCCTAGCTACTCAGAAGGAAGAGCTAGGAGGATCTTGGTTTGAAGTCAGGATGGGCAAAAGTTATTGAAATCCTATCTCAAAAAAGCCATGTGTGGTGGTGCATACTTGTAATCCCAGTTAATTGGGAAGCAGAGGGAAGAGAATCACAGTTCAAGGCTGGCCTGGGCAAAATCATTACATCTCACCTAAATAAGTAAAACAGAATAAGGCCTGGCTGTAGTGGCAGAACACTTGCCTAGCAAGCACGAGGCCCTATGTTCTATCACCAGTACTGCCAAAAAGGAAAGGGAAGAAGAAGAAGAAGCTGTGAATGATCTCTATTCAATTCTTTTTTTGTTTTTTTAAATCATACTAGGGATTGAACCCAGGGCCTCACCATTTGAGCCACAGCCCTTGTTCTTTCTCTCTCTCTCTCTTTCTCTCCCTTCCTTCCCTTCCTTCCTTCCTCCCTCCATCCCCCTCATTCCTCACTCTCTTTCTTTCTTTCTCTTTCTTTCTTTCTTTTTCTTTATTAAGTCTTGCTAAGCTTGACTGACCTCGAACTCAAGATCCTGAGTAGACGCCTTTGTTTAATTCTTAGTCCAGTAACTCTCAATTGCAACAAACATGAAAATCAACGGGAAGGCTGTTAAAAGGTATTGCTGCCTGGGCTCAGCCCACATCTATTGAGTCTGTATCTGACCCTCTTTTATGCCCACAAGGCCCAAAGACAGCATGAGATAAAGGTTGTTTCAAGTTGGTGATTGGGAAGGAGAGGGGCTAGCTTTTTGTCACTGTGACCAAATCTCTGAGAAAATCAACTTAAGGGAGGAAAGATTTATTTTGGCTAATGTTTTCAGAGATTTCAGCCCATAGTCACTTGGTTCCAATTTTTCTGGGCCCATAGTAAGGTAAAACATCCCATAGGCAGCATGTGACAGAGGAAAGTTGCACATCTCAGGGTGGCGGGTGAGCAGAGACCAAGAGGGACCAGGAGCAAGGTATGCCGCCAGAGACCTACTTCCTCCAACTAGACCCACCTTCTATGCTCCTCATTCAGCTATGAATTCATCAATGGGTTAATCAGTTGATAAAGTCAATGCCCTCATGATCCAGTAACCTCTCACTAGTGCCACCAGGGGACTTGGATATGGTTCAGTGGTAGAGCACTTGCCTAGTAAGTACAAGGCCCTGTGTTCAATCCTCAACATCAGGAGGAAAAAGAAGAAAGGAAGGAAGGGACGGAAGAAGGGAGGGAGGGAGGGATAGAGGGAGAGAGACAGAGAGAGACAGAGACAGAGACAGAGACAGAGAGAGAGAAAGAAAGGAAAAAGAAAGGAAGGAAGGAAGGAAAAGAAAGATAGAAAAAGAAAGGAAGGAAGGAAGGAAGAGAGAGAGAGAAAGAAAGAAAGAAAAAAGAAAGAGATTGGTATCTAAATGTATGTTTGTGGGCTACAGTTGTGGCTATGGTGGCAGAGAGCCTACCTAGCAAGCCTAAAGCCCTAAGTTCAAGTTGCAGTACCTCCCACCCCCAAATAATAATAATAATAATTTCTCCAGCTGAGGACCAATGTTTCAACACATGAGCCGTGGGGGACATTTCACATCCAAACCACAAGGACCAATTACAGATCCTTCTCTATCCCATGAACCCCTTTTCTCTACTCAACCCCACTTTATCTCCTCTCTTTCGTTCTCTCCTTTTTACAATTCCCTCAGCCAAAGAAGAGTGGGATTGTCTTTCATTTTCCTGACACCTTCTCGTTCAACCAGAGATCCAGCTTCAAGGCCTGGCTGCCATCAGCAGATGGGTTATTTCTAAATTATAAGAAAATTTCTATGACTTGAAACTTCCATATATGGCTTTCCTTATATGACTGTGAGGTGGAGGAAAAGGATGAGTGTGGGAGTGGATAATAGAAAGTAGCAGTACTCTCTTGTAGCAACGAAACTTCTGTACAACCACAACTCTATTTCCTTTTTTTGGGAAGGGGTGGGTACTAGGGTTTGAACTCAGGGCCTTCACCTTGAGCCACTCCACCAGCCCTATTTTTGTGAAGGGTTTTTCAAGATAGGGTCTCGCAGAACTATTTGCCTGGGTTGGCTTGGAACCAGGATCCTTCTGATCTATGTCTCCTGAGTAGCTAGGATTACAGGCGTGAGACACTGGTGCCTGGCACAACCCTATTTTCAATGTAGAATCTAAATACCAATTCCTTCTTTCTCTTTGCAAACATTTGAAACAAGTTCTAATCTCTCTCCCACTACACACCCACACTAATATAATATGTGTTAGGTCTCAATTTGACATCATTTATGCCACTTTAAATTCTGTTTGCCCATAAACTTGTTTGACTCCAGTAGAGATGGACTCCCCAAGGGAAACTCCTCTTTCCTAACACTTGTGCCAGAACACAAGACCCAGTTCCTTGACTACCCTTAGCAACAGACAATGGAAAAGCCACAATGAAAACATTCCCCCACCCCTTACCAGGTCCTTCCTTTCCATAAAACCCCCAGTCTATAAGTGGCAGTGGACTCTACCTCTCTTGCTGGAGACTCATCCACAGGTCTTTTCTTAAATAAACTCATGCTGACAGTGAAACAACTCTTTGTCTATCTCTCTGTGCTTTTCAGTTTACCAATATGCCCTTGGGGAAGGATGGAGAGGTAGGAAGTAGTCAACATATTAACAAAGGCAAAGGAGAAAAATCCACTGATGTTTTCAAAAATA